CCATCTGAAGATGGAGTCCACTGTTAGAAATTACAGCAAGAAGTGCAAGAGGAGCAACCACCACCGAACACTGTGGAACCACAAATTGATCTTATATTTTTTGTCTTTTTCTCTGGTCATTTTTGCCACGTTGCATTAAATCTTTCAAGTTTTTGGAGTATATCTCCATGGAATACAAGTGTACATGATAACCTGTATTATTATTATTATTATTATTACATCATTCAAAGGGTAGTGGCCTACCTTTTGAATGATGGTCGTCACTAATGATACCCAGTTAGTTACCAAGTGCACAGATTTAGAGGTGAGCTGCTGATAATGGGTGTGACTGAGGGGAGGGCTTGATCGGCTTTCAGATGAAGCAAGATTGACATCCGTAGGGAGCAGTTAGAGCTTGGCGGGTCTCCTCCCCGGCTCCATCCAAGCTCTGTTTGCCTACTGGATAATACTCATAGGGTCAAAGACTTTTTAAACAGAGAGCTGGCTCCTTCTTGTACTGAGGGTGCCTGGTCAAAATCCAACAGCTCTCAGGCCCTGAGTAGTCTGAGCTACTTTTGTGGACTTCACAATATCAGGCATATAGTTTCATTGCTGTGGCTTTTTGATATATCCATCACAAATCCCAAAAAACTGAGAACAATAGCAGTGAACAAAATATAATGAAACGTTTTTGTTATTAGAAAAATTTCTTTCTCAAAATAATTTGATAATTTTTGCATTCATTGGCTAGTGGAGGGTTGCAGACTCCGAGCTGTGCACTGTGGCCCAGACATGTGGGATGTGGTTGCCTGCTCAAGTGTCGAGCAAAACCCCCCACGTGTCATATTCTAAGCAGCAATATAACTGTTAGACCAGAAAAGACACTGAATGTGAAGCAGTCCATCGGCTCAGTGCCCAAGTCATTGTTTCATTTGAAATCAATAAAATATTGTAATTACGCCATCAGCTATGGATGGAAAGACGTGACGTAGCAATGATTACACTTCTACCTCTAAGCTGCTATGAAACATCTTGTTTGCTTTATATGAAGCCAAAATGTTATTTCTGCCTGTGTCTATTGTATTGGCAGCTTTAGCTCTCCTGTTTATTGACATGTGTGCTTTGATGCTGTTTGTCTTTTTAACATTCTGTGTTGTTGTCTTTCAATAATTGTCTCAGATGGCCCAGGGAGGAGGTCATAGGACTCT